ATAAGTTTGAAGATTTCCAGACAACGACTACATCGCCTAAGATACTTCATGTCGGTTTCTAGTATCTTAAAAGTACGGGCGTGGCAGATCCTTCAATTTATCTCTCATCACTTACGTATACCACACACGCTTTTCTCAAGCTTCTTTTATCGGCGTCTTTGCGACTACGTGAAAAAAAATATGACATTTTTTTTATCGTGCTCTTTACGAGGCCGCCGACTTCAAACTAGGTATATAATAATAACTTTTATATATTCGTTACACTAAATTGTTACTTTTTTCTTAATTAAATTTATGTATAATAAAAAAAACTTTTTTTTTAATTCAATATATATTATAATATCCATTTCCTTATCAATAAAAATAACATGCTTATGAAAATATTAATTTGCATTCAGAAATTGTTAGGATACAAACATTTTTGTACTTTCCTGTATTCATTTTTATATACAATTCCGATATACAATTATAATCGTTTAGCATTATATATATAATAAAATTTATTTATATGATTCTTTTTTCTACAATATTTGATACTATATTATTCAAATCATAAATTGTCTATTAAATAATTTTGTATTTGCATGTTATAAATTACTTCCTATTTACTAAGTTTCGTAATCTGATGTACTATGGGAGGCACAGGATCCTTTGACATCTTTTTTTCACATTGAAACTATCGTGTCCCTTCTTTTCGCCGTAGCTTCGTTCTATGGAGAAAGATGAGGATTTGCCACATTATTTGTACGTGCGTTTTTTTCCCACGATATATCCGGAATCTACGGGATGTCCGCGATGATTCGTTTCCGAATTTAGTTCTTCCCTACAATTCAGGTAAACGAGGATCCGCGTGATTCGGTGGAACAGAATACAATAGCGACACGGGACAATGGATATTTCTCGAGGATATACACACGGGATCCTTCTTCCTTCCCTTACTTTTAGGATCACGAAATTGTGATGGAAAATGTTTTCTTTTGATATAAATCTTCGATGAGGGTTCATGGGACTGTTTCGGATAGTAACGATTGTCGCAAGCAAGAGAATTTTTGCACTCGCAGAATTTCACGATACATCAAAATAATCGAAGAAAGAGGCACATCATTCTTAATTATAAAAATAAAAATAAGCGATCAAAAGAGTTTACACACACACACTTGCTTATATTTTATAATATTAAATTCAGTTGTAATTTGTATTTCACTGTAATGTAGCCGCCTAAATAGATAAACTTATTTAAAACTTTTTTAGGAAATGGTGATTTCACAATATTAAGTAATTATCTAATTATTTTCCAAAAACTAAATTTCACAGTTTCTTATATCGATCATTATCAATTATTCTGTATAAAGAGCGCTTTTATATTTATAGCAATTTAATATTATATATTACATGAAATGTATTAATATTTTTTTATGATTTTTCTCAGTTACAGATTTCAATTAGGAAAGATCAATACTTGCAACAATTTGAGGTCCATTATTATAATAAACCTCGCTGAAATTTCGCATGATCTCAAAACTGGGCGGAAGATCCACTCTCGAAAATATACGACGTCCAAACACAAGTGCGTGATTTTAATTGTGATCAATAGCAAAAGTCGGAGAATTGTACTTACCGTTATAAGTATTCAACCACCGAGCACAGACTTACTCATCATTCTGTCTTTCGAATCATCAATAAAACGTAAAGCATATGTATATTGTATATTTTTCTAATAAGTATATATATATATATATAGTATGTTTATTTAAAAGAAATTAAATTTTGATATCATATAATATTTCATCTAACGTGTCTCTAGGAAAAAAATTATGTGTTGCATTACACCTTAAAATAGCCTTTTTTTTAAATTATTGTATTTATACATACTAATTACATCAAAAATTGAAATAGTGCCTATACATGCTCTCAGCTATATTAATTAATAATCTTTGTGAGAACAAGACAGAGAAAAATATTTATTTATTATTCTCTTTAGCAATGACATTTTGCGTTTCCAGAAAGAAAATACTTATTTTTCGGCTATTTATATCACAACAAGTACAATTAAATTAGTTATATCATGAATTTCATTATATTTATATAAAACCGCTTATACCGCGAATATCTATAAAATTAAGATAAATATGCATAATACGCGCTACAGAACATAAACAGATAATTCCCGTTATACTAAAATCATCGACCGTTAGATATATTTTATTAAATTTTTATCATATTTACATGTTTCATATGTTTAAAGAATAAAACGTGACATTTTTATTTAAAGACAATGCTTGTATAATATTTATTATTGTCGTGTATTTATTTTGATTGCGCAATTCAATGTACGTATTTAAAATAATATAAGAGCTACAATATATAGAATGCATCAAAACGCGAAATCAAACAACGAGAAAATGCATTAAAAAACGCGCACGCATTATAAAGATTGTATAGTCGCCATAAATATTCTATAGTAATGGCCTCTTTTCTTTAAAAAAAAAAAAGACTCCTGATTATTATTTATATAAAAATTACTTCAGAATATTTAAGACGCATTATACCTACTGCTTACAATGCAAAAAATATTTGCAGATATTATCTACATAATCTGTTTTGCAAATTACATTACCTTTGATCTTATTGAGTTTGAACTTTTGATGCACTCTACAATATAGGAACGATCTGTGAATCGACTTTAACGATGCGAGACACAATCAAAATATTTGTAAATAAAAGTGCCTTAATTAATCATAAGAGATAAATCGTATTAATATTTATATTTTATATTCGTACTTTTCGACAAAATATTTAAAATATAAATATGTAAGTTACTCTATATTATAAGCAGAGAAAATCGTGCTATTTGTTTGCGATATTATAATGTATTCAATAATAAAATCAGTCAGTCAAACGTACATGATATTGCGGCAATTAAATATATATAATTATTAAATATTTTTTTAATATCGCGTATTTTTAGGTATATATTTAACAGCGTGCTAAGAAAATATGTATGCTCACGTGCCTTATTCTGTCACTGCGATCAAGTCTTCAATTTACGCTATTAATCATGATCATGTATCAAGTGATAGAATACCGCTTCCATCATACATACCACATACTTATATGTATACAGATACGCATACGTATGTATGAAATATTAATATTATTTACAAAATGCGCTTAATAAAATGAGAAAACTGTTATAAATGTATCTTAACTTATGCGATTATATTCATTATAATATGCATGCTCTTCGCGATAAATATAAAAATAAATTATATAAAAAATCTTACAATATATACACTTCCTCAAGAGCGATGTGTTGGTTATAATGAATATTATCTTCTTGTTGTAAATTTTATATTACAGGTGCGTTACAAAATACTCGACCGTTTTTTCATCTCGAGTTGAATCAAATTATTTTAGGAATGTCGAAAACTTTATTTTAGGATTAGGACATACTATAAATTATAAGCATACGTAGATCCTTTGTCATCAGTACCGTACTGATGTTTTTTTTTTTTTTTTTTTTTAAATTTAGTGCCTTGATTCAATCTAAAATAAGTATTCTACAATCTCGTGTATTTAATATACCTTTTTTTATAGAACATTTAGAAAATATATATTACTAAGTATGCACATTGTAATTTTAATGATCCGCATAGCAACCTATACCACAAAATATAATACATGTGTGTATGTGTATCTAAACTGGAATATATAATTCATAATATTTTAATGGTTTAAACATACCAAGAAAATATATTCTATGTTTTTATGTACATAATAATTGAGCAATTAATACTTAAACTTTATTATTTATTATTATTTTGTATTTTGTTGACTTTTTTTGAATTCATAAAACCAAAAAGGAATTCTTAAAATAATCTATTTTATTATATGTCTATCAAACTAAAAAGATTATTGAAAAAAGCAGCGTTACTTTAATCGAAAACAAAATTAACACATAAAGAATTTCGTATTCTGTAAAATACTATAAACAGATAAAATGTCCATAGTTTCTTTTTGTTTTGTTCTTATTTTGTTTATATATTTTTTCTTTCACTTTCTCTTTATTATGTCGAGAGTTTGATTTCCGAGCACGTTTCATTAAAATATCTGCAACTATCGTTGCACCATCTCAGGCATATGTTTATATATCTACAAAAAACCCAATCGTTTTTCTATTTTTAATTCATAACCATTGAATCGTATTTGCATTATCACTTGTCATGGCATATTTTAAATCCTAATGATAAATTCATACACATCCATGTTACAGAAAAAATAAATATTTATATTCTAAATAGAATCTTACAATAACAATGATTATGCATTATGTTAATTACAAAAAAAATTTTACTTAAAAGAGGATGGAATTATCACGCAATGCAAATAAAAAATTGAAAGAAAATAGATTAAATATTGTGAAAGAGATTTAAATGTTATAGCATTGTATATATATTAATAAGTTTGGTATTATTAGTATATATTAGTTTATATTGTATTATACCACAGTACTTTAAAAATGACTTTAGTAGTTTTATATTGTGTATAAATTATTAAAGATTCTCATGAATAAAATGGCATATCTCAAAGAATTACAGATGTAAAGATATCGAGAGATGTCAAGAATACATGTCAACGTATACATAATATATAATAATTTAAATTAAATAAATTGTTAGACATACAATCAATATTTGTAATGTTGTTTGCAAACATGTCATTAATTACCATCTTTAAATAAATTATAGTTAGTCAAATTCTAATGATTGTAACTAATTATTGCAAAATATAAATTACAAAATAAGAAGAAAGATATACTATATTTTGATAATTATTTGAGAATTGATTCCACGAAGTTGCGATGCATTGCATGACAAAATTTTTTCATTCGATCTGTCATTCGTAATACAAATGAGCACGTGTCGTGACGTAAAATAAGGTCACTGTATAATTAAGAACTAAAACAATGAATATTGCTGATCACATCAGCTTATAAATAATCGACCGATTCTTGCAAGCAGGTCAAAAGTAAAGAGAACATCATTTTAAAAACCTGTGAATATCTGTGACGTTTTTACAATTACTGCAAAATAATTAAAATATTATTTATTAAACTGCTGTTGCAGTTTGATCATATCAAGAAAGATCGAGACGTCATCATTGTGGTACCATAGGATAATAATTTATTACCACAATGGATGCAATTCCGGTAACGACGTCGTATTTACCAACTATAGCCTACTCTCTGCTCGCCGTGTTTATCACAACGCTAATTGCATTATACTATTATGTCGAGACTGGTAGAGCAGTTCAACTTTCAAAAAGGCTACCAAGTATGTATAGGATTTAAACATTTTAACTGCTAATATACTTTCAAGTAAATTTTAACACAATATAAAATTGGATTTATTAAAGTGATAAATTATAATCTTACAGTAATTAAAATTAATTTTTTATCTTCTCTTTTAGATCCACCGAGTTTACCAATACTAGGTCACGCATTACTAACTTTTGGATTATCTCCAGAAACTGTGTTACGTGTAGCTCTCCAATTCCATGAAAAATATGGATCAGTAATAAGCGTATATTTCGGAACAAGAGTAATAATTGGTCTGACTGATCCACAAGATATCGAAATAATCTTGGGTAGCTCTGTGCATCTTGAAAAATCCGTGGAATATAGGTAACAAGTCAAATAATTAATAATCTATATCATTCCATTTGTATATCTTGTTTTGAAATTGTTTATGTATACGTGCAAGTTGCCCATTCTAATTATCTTAAATTTGTATTCAATCTTATTGTATCCAAAAAGATATATATATCTTATAAAATTATTTATCTTTTTTTTTAGATATTTCCAACCATGGCTTGGAGATGGCTTATTGATCACATCTGGCGATAAATGGCGCAGACATAGAAAAGCAATAGCGCCCACATTTCATATGAGTATTTTAAAGACATTTGTACCTTTATTTTATCAGAATAGCATGGATCTCGTTAGACGGCTTCGCAATGAAATTGGAAAAGAGTTTGATTGTCATGATTATCTATCAGCTGTAACGGTTGACATTTTAACGGAAACTGCGATGGGAGTCAGAAAAGAAAAAAGGCAGAAGACTGGATACGATTATGCCATGGCCGTGATGAAGTAGATACTGTTTTTTCTTTTTCTTAAAATTACATATAATACTTTATTATTGAACATTTGTTATGAAGAAAATTTATTGTAATAATAATTTGAATGTTGCAGAATGAGTGATATCCTACATAGAAGGCATTATGATTTTACGTTACGTTCTGACATAATTTTTAAACTTACAAAGTTTGCGAAGAAGCAAAAGAAACTGCTCAATATTATTCACACACTGACAGATGGTGTAATTGAAGAGAAATCTAAGGATGTCGAAGAGAAACTTAAAAAAAGTCAACAGCAAAAGGAAGTGCAAAACAGCAAAACTATAGAAAGTTTGAACGTGACCAAAAATGAAGAAAATGACACAAATATTGCTACTAAGTACACAAAACTGCATTATGTAAGAGATGATCTCGATGACATCGATGAAAATGACATAGGTGAAAAAAAACGACTTGCCTTTCTGGACATGATGATGGATTTGAAAAAGAACGGTGGGCAAATGACTGATGAGGAAATTCGAGAGGAAGTAAACACTATCATGTTCGAGGTATGTACTGCAGTTTCCATATAAAACAGTTAACTCAATCATATAATGAGTTTTTTGATACGTGTATAGATATTTATAATTAAACTTTCTCTCTCAATCTCTTTCTTTACTAAAAAAATTTGTATATATCAAGTTACGCTACTGTACATGTATTTTATCAATTTGATGCAATTGTTAGAAAAGTCATTATTGTTTTATTATAGGGTCATGATACTACGGCAGCTGGCTCGAGTTTTACATTATGCGCCTTAGGAAATCATCAAGATATTCAGGTAGATTTATTAGCAACTTAATATTTTCACAGGAAAAAATTCTTGGATTTCTTTTAATATTTATATTTAAGTTCTTTAAAAAAAAATTATATATCACTTTTCTCATATACAACAAAACATCTTATTAATATTTAAAGTTTAGTATTAACAATTCATATCTGCCAAACCAAAAAATAGTAATTGATATATAATTATACACAAACAATAGTACATTAAATATTATTTTAAAATTAACATTTAAACAAAAATGTGCATAAAATATAGTTTTATATTCTTATAAATTTTTTAATTTGGCAGTTATTTTATTATGATAATAATATCAAGTTCTCTATCTCACAGCATACACACATACACACACGCGCGCGCGCGCGCGCGCACACACATGCACATACATTTTTATCTTAGCAAATGCTTAAATTGTCTACAATTAAATTTGTTAAAATTAAAGTAATACTTTAATTAAACATTTTTAAAGCAGTTGCAATGTATATTTTTATTATTCTTGTTAAACAGGTCAATATTGCTCAGCCTGATCAGTTGTTTTTAATTGATGATTTTCGTTGTGTAGGCCCGCGTGCATGAAGAATTGGATGCAATTTTCGGTGACAGCAATAGGCCATGCACTTTTCAAGACACTCTAGAAATGAAATATCTCGAAAGAGTTATTTTGGAAGCTTTGAGACTTTTCCCACCGGTACCTCTCATTGCCAGAAAACTTAACGAAGATGTTAAAATAAGTAAGCGTGCCTCATTTAACATAATATTAATTATTATTATAAACTTGTATAGTAAATAAACTAAACACGAAAGATACATAATATATATATTATTTGTACGATAGTTACAGGCGATTATATCCTTCCAAAAACTGCCACGGTATTGATTGCACAATTCGCAGTACATCGTACGGAGAAATATTACCCAAATCCAACAGTTTTTAATCCGGACAATTTCCTACCGGAAAAAATGCAACAGAGACATTACTACTCCTTTATTCCATTTAGCGCTGGACCAAGGTATTTAATGGATATTTTTTGTACAATCTTTTTCGAAATTAAAGAGAAATTTCTCTTTCATACAGAAATATTGTTATATACATGAGTTTGAAACTCGTTTATTTTTAAAATTTTGGCATATATTTTACGAGCATTCCGTGAAAATATTTTATCATAAAAACAACACGTTAGAATTATTTATTATAATATTATATTTAACAATAACAAATTTTGTAAAGATCTTGCGTGGGACGGAAATACGCTATGCTGAAATTGAAGGTCCTGTTATCGACAATACTTAGGAATTACCGTGTCACTTCTGATGTGGTAGACAAAGATTTCGTATTGCGGGCCGACATCATTCTAAAAAGACACGATGGATTTAAGATCAAGCTCGAGCCGCGTAAGCCAGTATCTTATAATCCAGAGAAACAGCAAGAATTTAACATTTCTGTATCCGCGTAAATGTAAACAAAATAAAACTAAACGTGTTGATATATACTTTATTAAAAGTTTCATGTTCTATATACATTATACGTTTCCGAAGCAGGTGTTCTTTTCGAAGGACTTGCTATCTATAAAACTTTTCCAAAACAATATTTATGTGATGTGTGTTGAAGCATTTAAAAAATCAATATATTATATTTAAAATATATATCTCAAAAAATCTGATGTATATATCGTTTGTTTCTTGTGTGTATAATATATACAATTATATAGATACTATTTATTTAAGCAAAGCATAAGTTGCTTTTCCTTTTCAATTATCCAATGCTAATTATAAAACTGATCACTAAGATTGATTCTATAACTTTTAACAAATAAAATATTATATGAAACATACTTTATTGTTCCATATGTATATAATTTTGATAACAACGGTTTTCTCGTGCGAAACGTATACATATATGTATACAGAGTCTGTCTTTTTAAAAATTATTAAATTATATTCTTTAGCATTATTTATACAATACTTCTAGATTCCGCAAAGAATTTAAATCTGAGATCTAAGTCTGTTAGATCCCAAGTGAAAAACCTATTTAGTGTCAGACAGACTATAAGCGCCAAACTTGTATTGCTTTTATTGGTTTAGATGTGTAATTTTTTTACATATAGATTAGAAACTATAAAATAGTATATATTAACGCGTATAGATTAAGAACTAAAAATATTAATATACATATTATTATTATTTTATATCAATATAAATTTAAAATATATTGACTATTATAAAATATATTGGCTATTATAAAGTATAAAACAATATACCATATTAATGTATGCATACAATATATAAGAAAGTCAAATGTAGCACAACAAATAGTAATGTAATGTTCTAGTATTAATAAAAAAAGCATAAAATAGCAATTTATTATTTTCTATCCTTTTCTGTCCATTTAGTCGTCTAAATTTAGTCGTGCTGAATAATAGGATCATTAGATGAGTCATTAATAGTTGATAACATTCCATATATTTCTGTATTTACTAACGACGCCTGAATTAAAACTTTATGATAGTATCTTCCGCATTCTTACGACTACATATTGTTATTTTATATAAATGTGTTTGCACATCAATGAGCATTAATCTTATTTCTATTGTCATTATGCAATTATTTAATAATGTTTATATAATTACGTTTTTTTATCTATTATAATATATTTTAAACTGTTTTTGAAATATTTCTGACTACATTATTATAAAAATCAAAAATTTGGTAAAATTGCATAAAAGATAACACAACTCCAATTTTATCGCTACTTAAATATGTTGTATGGGGAAGTTCTTCTGAATAATTCCCCGCAAGAAATTTGTGGGGGACGGTATCAGTTTAAAAAAGTATAACAAATTGAAGTTCGATATTAAAATATGTATATACTGTATAATTTGTTATTTTTTCATTAAAAAAAAAACTGTTTATGATTTTCTACGTTGTCAACAATCGGATTAGGTTATATCTTCCGGAAGTGGTGCCCCCCGTAGAGGGAGGGAGGAAACTCACTGCATTCACACATACACTTTCCCATCCACACGACAATTTGGGGGTGGATCTCGTTTCGCGTTGTAAAGTATACGCGTGAATATAGTGGGTTCACAGGAGCGGAGCCTATCTCCTGCTCACGCATTCAATAAATAATATTTTTCAAGACAAGACTCACAAATTCGTGTAGTTGCACGTTGAAAGCTGTTAACGGACTGTGAAAAATAGATGAAATACATTATTGACAAAGTATCCATGAATGTATACCTATCCCGTAAATGTAAACAAACACTTTTTCCGCGTCTACTCTACGCAGATACAACATAAACAAACTTCATTTTTCTTTATTTTATAATAGAAAAAGCATTAAAACTGTGAAACTTTAATTTGTTATATCTCCTAATACCGCCTCTCACAAATTTCTTGCGGGGAATTACTTAGAAGAACCTCCCCTACAACATATTTAAAATCGGTGATAAAATCGACGATGAAATTCGTATCATGCGTTTTAAGAAATCATCAGGATATTCAGATAGATTTATTAGCGTCTGAATATTTTTGCAGGGAAAAATTTTGGAAACTATTTTCCAATTTTTATACTCAACTTATTCGCAGAACAAAGAATTATACAACAGAACTTTTTATTACATTTTTGTTTTAATTGCTTATGTGTAGAATAGCTCCTTTTTTCAAGATATAACAAAATTTTCAGAAATTGAAATATATTTTGTACAAATACATATAAATTTTAATAAGATCCTACATATTATGTTTGATGTCCGTCAAATATTAAAAATAATAATTAATAGATTGTTGTTGATAACTGTAATTTGATATTATTGATATATTATATATATATATATATATATATATATATATATATACAATACCCGATTTAAATATAAACTTCAATAGATT